TGGGCTACAAACTTGTTACTTTACCACACTCTGGAAGAGCTTTTGCTTTATGTTTGTTTGCACCACCTTTGCTACAGGCACCATGAATCTCTTTCACAACAGACAACCATTGCACATGTGGCCCAACCTTGATCAAAATGTCCTTGAGTGGAGCATTGGTATGTGTCTCATGACTACATTATGGTAGTGAACTGGCTGCTGTTAAGAACAGTTTGACAATCATTGGACATTTATTTTTACTATGAGACTTAGAAATGTAGTGCCTGCTGTTTATTAAGAAGATTTTTTGAGAGAGATAAAACTTTGTAAGACTGTTGTTTGGACAAGGTGACATTTTTGGGTCATTGAGTTGTTTCTAAGACACGTGCCATCTTTGCAATTACCTCATTCTGCTTTGATAGTAACCACAGGAAATTATCAATTTATTGTGTTCATTAATAAATAAATTAATCAAATAGAGAACTTATGTTTTTTTTGTCACTTAATAGTAAGCTGGTTGATTAAATTTGTTCTGTAGTAAACTTCTAATTGTTCTCTGTATAATCACAGAGGATGAACTTAATCTCTAGTTACCACATTGTGACAACCTGTGTGAAAGGTTGTCTAAATGTTGTCTATGAAGGAATCTCCTTAGTGACCCCATGCCCAGAGGGTGTGGGTGTGGGGCTGGTTCTAGGCATTTCTTTAAGTATGGACTGATAGACTTTCAGAGGAAACAAGACATCAGTAAGTACCATGTTGTTTATATTAATCTTGTAGGTACAGGGAGCCACAGTAGTTTGCAGAATCTCTCTCAAATGCTTAGTTTCATGATTCCTGCAATTTCCTACTCATCACCTTTCTTTTCTAAAGATAAGTCCAATCCGAATTGCTTATATTAGCTCTGTACCACAAAGGACATTTCTGGGACATGTAATAGAAGTGCAACCAATAAAGAAGTTAGGAGTGATCTGGGAGCCCGTCTCACTTCCTGTGAACTCACCAAAGGAAGGGTATAAAACACTAAAAAAAGATGTTAGCCTTCTGAGTAGCCAATTTCTAGTGTTGGCATGGCTGTAAGAAATTGAGTGCAGTAAAGATTTGATAGATCAAATCATGGAATTCATCAAGAGGCCAGGGAATCATGTGAACACCATGCATGTTGAGTATAGATTTCTCATGCTGTCAATCTCTCCTGGCCTCCACTATACATTTGTGGGATATTTTAGATCTCAGTGGCCTTGGAGGATGTGGCTGTGAACTTCACCCAGGAGGAGTGGGCTTTGCTGGATCCTTCCCAGAAGAGCCTTTACAGAGATGTGATGCTGGAGGTCCTCAGAAACCTGGATTCTATAGGTAATAATGATGTTTCTAAAATTAATCAAATAGAGAACTCATGTTTATTTTTGTAATTTATGTAGACGGTGAAAAGGGAATAAGTTGGTGAATTATTGCAGCAAAAATCGCACCTGTGATTTGGCAAAGCATTTCTAGCTCCTAAATATTCATAAAGATTGTTCTATTCTCTCATTTTAGAAAACAGGTGGGAAGACAAGACCACTGAATATCAGATTGAAAACTCTGGAAGCAATGTAAGGTAACTATACTCACAAGAGGATTCGTGAGGGAATTTGAGAACTGTCATATAATTTTTAAAGCAAACCAACTGAAAAAGTATGCATAATAAGAAAAGTATTTATTCTTATAATATTTTTTACCAGAAATATATACTTAGCTGTTACAGATATTCAGTCTTTTCAAAATGTTTGACATCCAAAATGTACTATGAAATTGCATATGTGAATATCACTATTTGGATAATAGCCACAGAGAAGCTGTGTTGCAAAGGATTGTTTTCTTTCAATCTCTTTATTTTCAGGCAAGTTGAACAAGTCAGAAAACCTAGCCTTTAGCTGATGTTGGCAGTAATGTAAGGATGTATAAATAGATAGAAAATTGTGAATGAATTAAGCATTGATTATGTGCTGGTCACTTCTTCAAAGAAGTCATGGTAAACTTCAAAGGCACAGAATAGTGTGGGGGAAACCTTCAAATCAATTCCAATTCTTTATTGAACAAAGAACTATTTTAATAGAGTAAATCCATGTGACTTCATTATGTGTGCAAAAGACTTCATATGACCTTCATTCCTTCAGGCAGATCACATCTCACTCTGGACACAAACACTACAAGCATGAGGAATGTGAAGAGAAGCCATGTGAATTGAAACAATATAGGAAATCTCTGGTTTCTCTCAAAAGCGTTCACACACAAATGTTAATACAAAGGGTAGATGGATCTTATGAAAGTACAGTATGTGGGAAAGTCATCAGTTGTTCCAATGACATTGAGAGACATGAAGAAACTCATACTTGGGGGCAACCCGATAAATGGCAACAATGTGGTGAAGCCTCTTCTTATCCCACCAGTGTTCAAAGACACATGATAACACACAGTGGAGGTAAATTTTTCCAATGTGACACATGTGAAAAAGCCTTTCTTTTCTCCTCTTTATTTAGAAGACATGAAAGAACTCATTCTGGAGAGAAACTCTATGAATGTCAACAAGGTGTTCAGACCTGTATTTCACAGACAAGTCTTCAAAGGCACAGGATCACACACACAGGGGATGCACATTTCAAAAGTAAGATATGTGGGAAAGACTCCGCTTACCCAAGTTTACTTAGAATACATCAGAGAATGCATATTGGTGAGAAGCCCTATGAATGTAAGCAGCGTGGCAAAGCCTTTGCTATGTCCAGTAACCTTCAGATTCATGCAAATGTACATACTGGAAAGAAGACCTATGAATGTGAGCAGTGTGGCAAAGCCTTTGCTAGATCTCGTGACCTTCAAACACATGAAAGAACACATACTGGAGAGAAGCCCTATGAATGTAAGCAGTGTGGCAAAGCCTTTTCTTCATCCAGTTACCTTCCAATTCATGGGAGAACACATACTGGAGAGAAGCCCTATGAATGTAAGCAGTGTGGCAAAGCCTTTTCTACATCCAGTTCCTTTCAGATTCATGGAAGAACACATACTGGAGAGAAGCCGTATGAATGTAAGCAGTGTGGCAAAGCCTTTACTACATCCAGTCATCTTCACTCACATGAACAAACTCATACTGGGGAGAAGCCCTATGTGTGTAAGCAGTGTGGAAAAGCCTTCACTCATTTCTCTGGCCTTCACACACATAAAAAAATTCATACTGGGGTGAAGCCTTATGCATGTAAGCAGTGTGGCAAAGCCTTCGCTCGTTCCCCTGACCTTCACTTACATAAAAGAATTCATACTGGAGAGAGGCCTTACGCATGTGAGCAGTGTGGGAAAGCCTTTGCTACATCCAGTAAGCTTCAAAGACATAGAAGAACACATACGTGGGGAGAAGCCCTATGAATGTAAGCAGTGTGGCAATTTCTTTGCTAGTTCCAGTTACCTTCCCAAACTTTAAAAACTCATACTGGAGAAAAGCCCTATGAGTGTGAGCAATGTGGCAAAGCCTTTGCTAGTTCCAGTGACCTTCAAAGACATGGGAGAACACATATTGGAGAGAAGCTCTATGGTTGTAAACAATGTGGAAAAGCCTTTGTTACTTCTGCTCAGCTTCACTTACATGAAGGAACCCATAGTGAAAAGAAATCGTACTCATGAAACTAATTGGCAAAGTCTTCTGTTAATAATGTTTCACTCTTTAACATGTAGTAAGTTTTCTGTAGAAAAATTCTTTGAATGTGAAATGTGGTAAATCAATATTTCTTGTCAAATTCAAAGAGAAGAGAGTGCTCACATGTCCAAATGTATCTATCTACCTACCTACCTACCTACCTACCTACTTACCTACCTACCTACCTACCTATAAATAGTACTGGGGATTTAGTTTGGGGGTCATCTATCACTGAGCCACAACGTTTTTCCTTTTTATTTTGAGAGAGGGACTTGCTGAGTTCCTTAGGGCCTTGCTTAGGTGCTGAGTTTGGCTTCACATTTGTGATCCTTCTGCCTCAGACCCCAAGTCTCCGAGATTAAAGGCAAACTCTACTAGATCCAACTGAATAAAGCATTAAATGTGAAGAATTTGGAAAATCATTCCATTTTTCCTGTTGCCTTCAAAGTCATTTCACTCACACTGGAAAACAAACCCTCAGAATGAGGAAGATTGGGTACATTCTGTCAGCTTCCCATCCCAGTCTGCTTTCCTTCTCATATATGACAATACAGAGAGAAGCCCTGAGAATGTGATTAATGTGGGAAGTCTTCTAATTTTCCCAGTTTTTTACAAGTTCTGGGAAGACTCTTCTGGAAAGATTCATGCCAAAATGAATAAATCATATGCAAGTAAGTGTTCAAGTGTTTCAGTTTTGTTCACTTGTATGAAAGGACTCACACTGTAGAAAATCCTGTGGAAAAGCCGTGTGGGGCAGTATTCAGCTTTCATGGTTTCCTTCAAAGACATAAAGGGATTCACATCAGGGATAACCCTTCTGTTCTTTCAACAATGTGATGACAATTTCACTTTTCCATGTTCCTTTTGAACATCATGGAAGCACTCACTCTGGAGAAAAGCCTTGTATATAAAAATGTGGTGAGACCTTCAGTCATTTCAGATCCATTTAGACTTACATAGACTTGAGAATTTTTAATTTTAATTTCTTTTACTTTTTTCTGGTACCAGGGATTCAACCCAGAGACACTTGATCACTAAGCCACATCCTAATTCTTTTTAATTTTTTTTTCAAATATTTAGACATGGTCTCACTGAATGGCTTAGGTCCTCACTATGTTGCTGAGGTTGACCTTGAACTTGTAATCTCCTGCCTCAGCCTGCTTTTCTGGTGGAATTACCATCATGACAAAATAAAAATTGTGAGAGCTTTCAAATATAATTACCAGGGTCATAGAATTCAGGGCAAGAGAAAATAAACATTATTATTGTAATTATCATCACCACCACCACCATCATCATCATATCTGAAGTGTATAAGCCCTGATCCCATCCCTATTCATTTTTATTTATTCGTATTTTTAAAATTTTGATTGAAGTGCTTTTGAAAATCTTCCCAAGGGCCTCATTATGTTGGTGAGGCCGGGTTTGAACCTGTGATTCTCATTCTATAGCCACTGCCATTACAGACCGTGACATCATGCCTGGCTCTTGGCTGTTTCTTGAAACTTTGATGTAAATCAATATATGCCTTCCTTCTGTAGAGTTTCCAAGTCTTAATTGATTCATAGGCAAGAATTAGTTTTTACTGTGTTTATGTATACTAATGCCCTTCAAGCTCTAAGATTCTAGCATGATTCTGAGCATCACAGGGACATTAATTCACACCTTATACTACAAATTTTTATATTTCCAGTTGGTCTAAACTTTTCACCAGAGCACCCAGTGAAACTACAAAAGCAAACACCTGGGAGGGGTGAGTTTTGTCACCCACACATGCACACTCACACCCACGTGCACACACATGTACAGGATCAAGTCACCCTTTTCTCTACATACCCTCCCTAATGCACTTCTTTCATCCTCACTGTGTCATGCAACTATTGATTCCTTTGATTTTTCTCAAACGTTGCTGCCCACTACTTTTTCTCAAAAAATAATTATTACTTTATGACTTCTCAATTTATGCTTTTGTGTTTTTCTAAAGTTTGATTACCAGGGACCCAATCCTGCCTTGTGCCTGCTAGACAGGTGCTCTAGCACTGAGCCCTCCCCTAGCTCAGGTGGTGCGTTTGCTGCTGCTGCTGTGTGTGGACCCACTGATAACCACGTCAGTAGGTGCAGCACTGCAGGTTTTTCTCCATGTTTTCATCTGGTCCCTTTCTTCGTAAACATCTGTAGCAGGGAATTTTAACCACTGACATCCAATTCAGCTTTTAACACCATGATTAATATTTAGGTGGAATATGCCGGAAAACCCAGGCTGGACTTCTCTCTGTGTTCAGGGAACCTCAGTAGCCCTGGGAACATTGTGTGATGATTTTCTTCATACACAGCATGTGATCAAAACTAGGTATGGAGGGCCCCAGTTTAATGTCCAGCCGCAGTCTTGGGATCCTTGGAGTAGAGGGGTGCATGCCGACCCCAGTACATGGCCCTACTCAGTCCCGGGAGGGGACCAGCAATGGCCCGGGAGGGGGGGCGGGGGGGGGTGAAGCACAGGTGTTGGATGACCCAGAGTCACCAAAACCCAGCCCTGGTGCCTTCTCTGTGTGGCCCTAAGAGCAGCGCTGGGGTGGGTTGCAGATGGAGGTGGGGGGCCTATCAGGAGTAGGATAAACTGAGCCTGCAGAGCTGGAAGTGCCACTCCCTGGTCTAAAAGGGTGACAGGCGTCACCCCAGCGCCTCAGAGACTTGCCTCCTCATGCTGAGACGCTGGGTCAGCTTCTGGGGGTATGTTCTTTCTAGGGCTTGTGGGTTTCCTTGAAAATGTTGGTGCATCTGAAACCTTGACATGGAAAGAATACACTGGAGGGGGACTTCGTCCTGAGAGACAAAATGAGGTCAGTCTGTGCAGTAGAGGGGGCAAGTGAGTGTGAGCTCACAGACATGAGACCCACAGATGCCTGAAGCCTAAGTCCTACAGATAATACTAAATCCTACATACACTTTTCCCTTTCTTTACATGCCTATGATTATCCTTCTATAAAACCTCAAAGTCCTTGTCAGCCCCTGAAGACAGCATAAGGGCAGGGTTTCCTTGTCTTCCTGGTGTAGCTGCACTGGTCAAAAGTTCCTTTCCTGCTTTGCATCATGACCTTTTCTGTTTGATATTGGGGCATACACCTGACCAGACCTGTGGGATCCCCAGAGTCAGGTCTCCGCATAAGACTTCCTAACAGTCGAAGTAGAACATCTACACTAAGCACAAGGCACCCATTTAATTTCCACCGCACATTGCTGCCCTGGAGGATTGCCTTCCTTCCTCCCCCACCCTCTCTGCTGGGGATGGGACCCTGAGCATCAGAGCCAACCCCAATGG